TGCTGATTTTTCAGGTGAGATTCTCAATTCATTCAGTGAACGGATGCTCTGAGGTAGTTTTCAGAATGCAGACTCAGCAACGATTGTATTTAATTGTACAGTACAATCATAACTTAGAACAGACATTATCTTCATTTCCTGTCATTAAACATAACAATATTGCTGGCCATACACTGATGAGAAAATGCGCGTCCGGTGTTCGATAACGTTACTGTGGGGTTGTCCTAAACGTGGCGCGGCGCTTCTCGTCCGGTGTGCGACCCCCTTTACAGCCAACAGTTCACATTCCCAGAATAAATGAAAAGAATAATTGTGCTCCATTCCATAACAAATGCGCGTAATGCTTCCATAACTACAACTACCGCATTTGTCCAGGATTACACGCAGTACGAGCGGAAACCGAGGTAAGCGGATATGACGCGATTGACTCGCGACTCCCAGCTCACCCCAGCTCACATGCCCCGTTTCCTTGGTTAAAATCTCAATTTTCTCGCGATTTAAACATTGTTTGGAACATTATTGTAAGTTATCATCTTAACGAAATATATAACACTGGCCTTGTGATTTTGGTATATTTTAATGCAAAAATCTTAGGTATTCCACCTTTAAGTTTGGTCTCTTTTTAAAGACGACACTTGGCAGATTATTGCTGAAGTGAAAAAAGTTACAATTTTTGCATTTATTGTTGTGAAAAATGCACAAAAATACCGTTTTCAGTTTGTATATGAAATCTATATTCTCCAAAGCAAAAACTGCAAAAAAAAAAAAAAGCCATGACTCTAAACCAGTTGTGTTCCAAATCTGAGGTTGATGTCTCAGAAGACCAGGCTTTCAGTGCGAGTGTGTCCGGCTGCAGTACCGGTCGCTTCCACAAGACGAAACTCATCTCTTATTCATTTGCAATGGCTCATTTTTTAGCCTGGCTCCGCCCTCCTACGTACTTCTGCTCAATTTTCATTTTCCTTTAGTACGTCACCTGTTTTTCTGGGATATTTGCAATTTGTACCTGTCCAATCAGCGAACAGAGGGAGTGTACGCTAGTTTAGTCTGGTGGGACCTGGCCACTTATTTTTGAATGCGAACAATACAAGTCTGACTTTTTTTAGGAACATATAACCTTTTCTAATCATGTCCATGATTTTTGTGTGTGTGTGTTCACACAGCAAGTGCCAAAACCTTTACCAAGTTTCATACCATTCAAATGAAGTAAAAAAAAAAAAATCTGTCAAAAATGGCCGACCAGCACCAGAGGATTAAGAGGGTTTAGAACATGGTATTTGGAATAAATCACTTTTGACTAAAAAAGGGGCTATAATTACTGAGATATACAGTATGAAACCCTTGCCCTGTTGTCTCCAGTAATTGACCAGGGAGAGGGAAATAAATAAATAAATCCCACAGCAGAAATATAATCACTTAAAGTAATGGCACAAAGAAATAACTACACAAAGAGTCGCATCATACGACAACTCAAAGAGTTTTAAAGAGCCTTTGAGTGTACATACGCAACAGAAGAGTGTGTCGCTCGGCTTCAGCTTCACGGTTTCAAAGGCAGAGAGGAGGTGACACACTTACGGGCGATAATACAGCGTGAGCATCAAAGTTGCATGTGTGCCTGAAATATTTATGGCCAATGTAACATTCATCACAAAAGAGAAAAGAGCTTTATTAGTGCAGCAGCCAAATAATGATCCCCCCGAATAATGCAAACGGCAGAGCAAGTGATGCAGTCACAACACATGAAGAGATCGCAGTTAACCGCAACACTGCCAAAAACATGCATTAATAACACACTAACAAACAGATCTGCAGTTCTTCACTGCATTCGGCCTCGCAGGTGTCGCAGGTGTCGCAGATGCTGCATATGTTGCAGATGTCGCAGGTGTTGCAGATGTTGTCGGAGGTTTCGCAGTTGTCGCAGCTGTTGCTGATGTTGCAGATGCTGCATATGTTGCAGATGTTGCTGATATTGCAGATGTCGCAGATGTTGCAGACACGTCGCAGATGTTGCAGATGCAGCAGATGCCGCAGATAATGCAGATGCCACAGATGCCACAGATGCCGCAGATGTTGCAGATAATGCAGATGCCACAGATAATGCAGATGCCACAGATAATGCAGATGCCACAGATGCCGCAGATGTTGCAGATACTGCAGATGTCGCAGATGTTGCAGATATTGCAGATGTCGCAGATGTTGCAGACACGTCGCAGATGTTGCAGATACTGCAGATGCCACAGATAATGCAGATGCCACAGATGCCGCAGATGTCGCAGATGTTGCAGATGCAGCAGATGCCGCAGATAATGCAGATGTCGCAAATGCCGCAGATGTCCCAGATGTCCCAGATGTTTAAGGCATAAAAAAAAATGTTTTTATGCCTTAAAATATCTTGAATGTAACTCGACACCCTTGTCTCATTTAGTATGCGCGGTTCTATGAATATGCAAATGAGCCCCGCCTCCACTCAGAGATCCACTGGTTGGCGATCACACGTTGATCTGATTGGTTACAAGGTCGTTTGTGACGTCAGAAACACCAGCGATTTCAAACCGTGTGTTTGAGACTGTCTTTGGTTCAAAATACTCAGCAACGCTGTCGACTAAAGAACTTACACATGGTGTGTGTTAAAGCGTATTAAAAACACCACATAGACACATAAACAACATTAAAAGCTGGATTTACACCACAGGGGGACTTTAAAGGAATTGTTGTCAAATGTATTTGCCGATTTACAGTAAATTAAATGATTGATCGCGTGCCAATGAACCGTAAATGAATGTACTTGCTTTATTTAGTGCCATCTAGTGGCCAATATTCATCTGGGGGGAAACACGGCACATCCCAGATCTCCAGATGACTGTCAGGTTGCTGTCGGATGTCTTAACTCTCACACACCGCTCTCTTGACAAGCTCAACCAAAGGAAATTTCCAAAAGAACAAGGGTTTAATGGGCTTCTCATCCATAAAACGTCCACAGATCTGTTAGTCAACTGCTGTTCAAAGTGCGCGAGTTAAATCCTTTGATATCGCACAAAACTTACAAGACTTTCAAGCCTTGCTGATGAGAACAGCCTGACAGTCCTGTCCCGAGATCGCTTGACGAGGCTTTTTTCCTAAACTTTCAGCAAACTTTCTCGCAGGTTTCCGACTCTTCTGAAGGGCTGATTTGACAACGCCACAACATCCCGAGATGTGAAAGACTGCGCCTTTAAAGCACGAATGAGGAAGTCAATGATTTAGGCAACTTGGCAATTTAAGGTCGGATATATGGGGTTCGGGTGTGTAATGTAAGTTGAAGAGGATAAACGGTGGTGTGATGGTTGTCCTCACTTAGGTTGAAAATGCTGCGATTTGTGCTGCAGAGGTTCGAGATGACCTCTCAGAGATGAAGGCTGGACAGTTCATGGGATAAATGGTGCAAAACACACTAAACCCTGTAGCGTTGCTGTGAAACTGGTGTAAGGAGCACACACACACACACACACACACACGGGAGCTGCACTGCTATGCATGGTTTTCAAAGCACTCCACGTGTAATTCAACATCTCCAATTTACTGCAATGGACAATCTTTCCTTTATTTGATCGCGGACTCGGCACAGGTCAAGGTTTCTTTGATTTGACTATGAGTGATTCCCGAGAGGTCACAAGGGTTATGGAATATATAGACTTGTAAAAAAGAATTTTATTTGAATTAAAAGTACATAGTTGTCATGTTTTGTCATTGTCATGTGATTCCCTGTTTGTCATGTGTCTTGTCATTGGTTAATCGGCTGTCCCTTCCCTTATGAAAAATAAGTTTATTCAAGTGTGCTATTAAAATACTTGTTTTAAACTAAAAATAAGAGAGTGTGCTTTCAGTCTACTTTCGATATACTTTTCAGATATATACATAGCAAATTATACTTAAGTATACTTGGCTTATACTGACAAGTATACAGAAAAGTCTAAGTACTTAATCATTTGATCAAGATATACTAAAGAAAAGTATTCTTTCTGAATACTGAAAGTTTAAGTGTACTTGGCTTGTACTTGTGTTTACTCTTTTAACCTTATTAAATAATTTTCACATGCAAGTTAACATCAAGTCTGCATGCTTAAAGTACAGTTAATGGTTTATTTCAAGCATAAATACTACTTAGTAGTATACTTTAAATGCAGAAACTAAAAAAGTACAACCTGTTTGTGGGTAGTTATGTATGTGTTCGTACTGTGTTGTCCTTTGTTTGAACTGGGCATCCAAAACAATATTTGTTTGAAAACTTTGATTTATAAAGTAAATGACTTTTTAATTTTGACTCCTGAGTTTGTCTTGTGAATATTAATGTTTGTAGTCCACTGGTAGAGTGAGTTAACATCAAGGGTACATAAAGTACAGTAAAAGGTATAGGCCTATTTCAAGTATAATATGTAAGTAGTAACTTATTAGTACACAGCGCAAAAATAATATATAAATAGTAAACTATAAGTATGATGTTAAGTTCACTGAAAGAAAACTTACAAGTACACTTATAGTATAAAACTATTAAACTAGTAGTTTACTGAGTAGTATACTTAAAAGTGTACTTTCATAAACTAAAAATCCAGGCTAGAAGTATATAACTAGTAAACTAGAAGTATATCTATAAGTTCACTTGTGTACAAAATAAAACTTTGAAGTAAACTAGTTGTGAACTCAAAGTTTGCCACTTTTACACTTTAAGTATACTTAAAAGTATACTTTTATATACTAAAACTAAAAAGTGGGCCAATTCAGTCCTAAGAAGTATTAAATTAGTAGGCTACACTTACAATGCTACTAGTACTATGATCTTAGTATACTTAGTATGTACAGTATACTTTGGAAAAATACTTGAACGTTACTTAAGTTCACTTAGTTAAATAAACTTGAAGTATACTTTATTTTGGTAATGAACCCTCATAATAAAGATGGCTCTGCGGAGGCATTTGACTTCTCATTTTAGACACACACACACACACACACGCACGCACACACACCTCTGAATGGATAGAAAAGTCCTCGGGATACCGCAGCAACTTGGATTAGTTGTCAACAAGGCGAAGTCCACCATAATCCACTTCTTGCAGCTCTCAGGAGAAAATGTTTGCAGCACACACGATAGTTTAGATCATAGACTGTTTAGATGTCAAACCAACCGTCCAGAGCCAGAGTCTAGCCATGAAAACAAACGCTTGCGTCCGCGTCTCTGCGACCGACCGATCTCACAGTTCGACATGTCTGTCGTTGGAAAGATCCACGTGGTGTCATGAATAATTAAGAGCCCGTGTCTTCTCATTGGATAAGAAAACTCAGTCTCATTAATAATTATGAGACACCAATCGTCGTCAACGCACTCACAGTGCACGTCCACGTAGACACGATGAACCCGGAAGACGAAAAAAGCGGAAAAAAGTTCAAATTTAACCATTTTAACCCTGTTATTCAATTTAACAGATGCTAACATTGTCTTCAATGGTGTTCAACACACCTGTTAAAATCTCTGAAAATTTGGTTTGCGGTTTCATGACCCGCCTGCTCCACAGACAGGGCTTAGATTAAGCCAGGATTAAGTTCAATTAAAGCATTTCAGTGGCTTTTATTAATATGCCTTAGGGGGAAAAAAAGTGCAAGTTGCTTTCAGTTAAATCACTTCAAACATGTAGGCTATTATAAAACGGTCAATTGGTCAATGGCTGATTTATTCACGATAAACCGCATCACTCAATGGTTCTCTGTATCACTACACAACACCCTTAGCAACCACTCTTAGCAACGTAAACAAATGTTGGATCTCACTGATATTGTTCATTGAAGCGAATTTTGTGTGCCTAGTGAACTAGTTTTTTTTTTGTGAACTAGAATTTTGTGAACTAGTGTGCTTTTAATCCTCCCTTTCATTATTTATACAATTATTATATTGTTTAGTATGTCATTGCTCTTTTTTTTATCTGCTTTCACAAGGCTTTCAATATAAAGAGGCTAGAATGTTCCTAAGACACTGGGACATTGTCTGATCAGTGATTACATTTGCCAGGGGTACTACACACACACACACACACACACGATACCGACGAGCGTTCTGTGTAGGCTGCAGCGCCGGCCCGAGCCTTTTGGGGGCCCTAAGCAGAATTTGATTTGGGGGCCCCTCCCACGACGCGGAGTCACCTGTGTTTGACGATTATTGACATAAATGTCACGCAAAAATGATACATTATAAATGAATACACTGAGGTTATGTATTAATAAAAAAATAGATGCCTACTTAAATAAAAAAGTTTGAAAACAGTCTTAAAACTGTCTCAAAACATATACAATACATTATTTGCTAAAATTATGACAAAACTGAGTAATTAGAAACGTAAGAGCAATGATACTTTGGCCTATCCTCCTGGGACCCAGGAATAGACTTTTGTCCACTGTAGTGGACATTATATTTTAGTGTATTTCTCTGACACCATGCATGTCACATTTTTTTTTCTGGATGTCCTGTAAAGAGCACATTCAGGGCAATACAGAGATACCAAATGTTTGGAGGTTTCACCATGAAAACAACTTCTCCTTGGTCTTTAAAAATGTCTAACATTAATTTAGTGATCAAATGTAGCACTCTTATTGAAATATGGTAATATATTGTAATTATAATTTAAATCTAACTACTTTTCAAATTGTATTTCATCAACCAACATCTCATGAAAATGTTATGGGGTTTCAAATGAAAAAAATGACTTTCCGTTACAGGGCATTGATTTCATTCATGTCCACTGTAGAGAACATCAGGACATAAATCATGTTTATCAGGCATTCTGGGAGACATAACAAGTGAATATGTAAATAAGTTATACGTCAATATTCTTATGACATATTAGATATTATTATTAAAATGTTGCTTATTATTACGCCAATGCTTACACTTCTTTCCTCATTAAATGTTGCTCCAAGAACACAGTAATGTGCAAATTAGATACAGTGTATAGATACTTTGCATTGAATGGAAATATTAATTTATGCCAATTTTACCCATATATTGCATAAAGTAAATTGGTGTATCAATTAATTCCATTATATCTTTCATAACATAGTTGATAATCATCTTTATACAAATTTTAGTTCAAAAAAATCCTGAAACCCCAAAATGTATTGGTGATTGGAAAAAAAATCCCATTGTTTTTGCCTACACATTGTATGTCATTTAATTTTAACAACTGAGTCCTGGTGTCCACTACAGAGGACAAAGTATTACATATGAATAAAATGTAATTTTTCAAAAAGGTTTTTTTTTTTTTTTTACCATTTGTTTATTATGCTCTAAACAATGTGATGACATGAAAAAAAACTAAATTAAAAAAAAAAAAACTTTCTGGGTCTCAGCTATTGTTGAAAACTAAAAATATTACTAGCCTATTTCTCAACTGTCTCAATACAGAGTAACTATCCTCAAAATCTTTATTATTGTTATTATTATTATTGTAACAGACTTTGTTATATAGTACATGACATAATCAACACAGTCTGTTACTATAATACCGGTTATGATGTTCTGGCGCTCGTTGTATGTGTGTATGCAATGTATTTTTCCCCTCGGGGCTTGCCGTAGATGGGTCGTGCGCACTTGCTAGGCTACTGGAGTGTCGCGGGTGTTTGGAGATCTGATGTGTGGTATAATAAAGTGGAGAAGAGTTCAAACTGCTATGTTTATTATTTATTCAAACTGCTACCCTTACACCTTGAAGGATAAGTTCTCCTGCGGGCTATTTTCTCCAACTTAAACCGATACCGTGACTAGGCGCAGTTGCGCACGAATTGTCTGCACGCGCGAGGTGTCTAGAAGATTATGCGTATGACTTAAACGCTGGCAGACAGAGCAGCAGTTGTAACTTGTAGGCAGGTATATTGACCATTAAATCAGAATTTTGTTGTCTTGAACTATTCATTCAGTCATATTCATTCATTCATTGATTTATGTCACTTGTTTAAGTCATCTAAAAAAATAAAAATAAAAAATAACCTCGATTAGGGGGCCCCCTGGTGGCCAGGGGGCCCCAAGCAGCCGCTTAGTTCGCTTATGCCTCGGGCCGGCCCTGGTAGGCTGCCATCTTGTGGCGACGCCATTACTGAGCTGTTACCGGTGTGTAAACAAACCTCTACAGCCAGGCAGAATGACTTCTTGGGTTGATGATGTTAGACAGTGGCCTCCAGTCACAGATGAAGGTACAAATGATCTTACAGATTATTTATGAAAATAGCTTGGCAAGCTAGCTAGGCTAACGTTACCTAACGACGAATCTAAGATCTGTCCATTTGGCAACAATAAATAAATGAATGACATCAAATAAACAAATTCATGTTTTTCATTTGTGTCCATTATTTATCTCATTTTCACATTACAAAAGGCAAGGTAAGGTACTAGAAAGTATACATAATATCGACCAATTAGCAATTAGCACAAAAGCAATTATCTGTGTGTGTGTGTGTGTGTGTGTGTGGGCCCGTCGCGATAGTCGATAAATGGATTAATCACACAATAAAAAAATGAGATAGTTAACAGTGGTTTGTGTGTTAATGCTTTGAGAACAGATCATTTAGGGTCGGGTTTTGTTTACATCAGTTTTATTTATTGTTTTTGGCATTTATTCAAGTGAATTTTTCGTTAACAGAGAGTTTTGTTCTTTTTGGTTGTTTTGTTTGTTAATTGTGGATTTTTACAATATTTTTCATTTTCTGTGTTAAACGTCTTTAGAAATAAAAGTTTATTGATCTTTGAAGTTTGAAAAGGTGTGCCAGTGCCTGCATTATTATGCCATTAGCATTATTTTAGATGTAAATGGTCTCGGAACGACAATATTATTGTTTATCGCAATAATTTATTGTGACAGGCCTATGTGTGTGTGTGTGTGTGTTGTGCGGGACGGGTAATGACAGCGCAGGGCAGTGTTGGACAGCTCCAGGATAAAGCCTCATCTCCTGATGTGATGCACAGTCGCAGTCTCTGCTTGAAGCTCCTCGTTCCTTTTGTTTCTCTTTATTTTGCCTTTCTGATTTGATGGCTTTTGGACCCCAGATGACGACGAGATGAAAGCAAGGGCCTGATGAAACACAATGCTCCTGCGGCTCCGTCTTGTGGACGATATGTCACTCTTATTCTGGTCCCGACCTGCACACATAAACACCCTAAAGCACACTCACCTTTTGTTTCCATTGCTTTGTTTGCTTATATCTCGCCGTTTTATGTCCCCACATCCGTCACATTACCGATTCCCTTCGCCTTTCTCCTGTTTCATCTCTATTTCCCGCCATTTCTCCCTGTAGCTGCCATTAACCTAGAAAACCTATAGCAGCTTCCCAAAATAATCGGATTTCATTACAAACCAGCCTAATGCATCTTTAGAGGAATCCATATTTAACACGGTTTATCATGTTTATGTGACGGAAGAGTTGCAGATTCATGAAATGAGGAAAAAAAATGAGTAAGTGGAACGTTAAACCGGACGCTATCGCGTTAAACTGGACGCTATCACGTTAAACCGGACGCTATCACGTTAAACCGGACGCTATCACGTTAAACCGGACGCTATCACGTTAAACCGGACGCTATCACGTTAAACCGGACGCTATCACGTTAAACCGGACGCTATCACGTTAAACTGGACGCTATAATGTTAAACCGGACGCTATCACGTTAAACCGGACGCTATCACGTTAAACCGGACGCTATCACGTTAAACTGGACGCTATCACGTTAAACCGGACGCTATCACGTTAAACCGGATGCTATCACGTTAAACTGGACGCTATCATGTTAAACTGGCGCTATCACGTAACCGGATGCTATCAAGTTAAACCAGACGCTATCATATAACCGGACGCTATCACATTAAACCGGACGCTATCATGTTAAACTGGCGCTATCACGTAACCGGATGCTATCAAGTTAAACCAGACGCTATCGCGTTAAACCGGATGGTATTATGTAACCGGACGCTATCATGTTAAACCGGACGCTATCATATAACCGGACGCTATCACGTTAAACCAGATGCTATCACATTAAACCGGACGCTATCACGTTAAACTGGACGCTATCATGTTAAACTGGACGCTATCATGTTAAACTGGACGCTATCATGTTAAACTGGCGCTATCACGTAACCGGATGCTATCAAGTTAAACCAGACACTATCGCGTTAAACCGGATGGTATTATGTAACCGGACGCTATCACGTTA